TCTTCACTAAATTGGTTAGCTTCTAGGTTTGCTCTGTAACATATTTCACCTACTAACGAGAATGACCAGAATAGTGGAACCAATTCTAAAAAAATCTTAAAATATACTTCTGGTGGAATGCGCATCGGTTTCCTTACGAAAACTAAGACTTTACTTTATCGTCTAGCTCAGACAGATTTTATTTTGCTCGTACAGTACTAGGTTTTCATTTTTATAAGCAAAAGGTAACGGTCAAAAATAGAAAATGGAATTTCATTGCTTCGCAAAAAACGTTGTAGAAACGAACGTTTGATAAAACAATACAATATTTCAGGATGTCAAAATCCACCTCATTCTAAAAAAATGTGTCTAAATTCCATGATGATCACTTACAGGATAAAAAAGTTAGTAACTTAGTAAGTAGCTCTCCGTATTAATCCTTCTATTTTACATTTTTCGTAGGAGGAGAAGAAGTAATATTAGGGAGTTTAAGCTTGCATGTAAAATGTGGTGTACCTTTCCGTTAAATCGAAACACCAACCTATGTGTTGTACCTTACCGTAACCGAGCATTATACCATATTATACTACATTGATAGTTTGTGAAGTTTGAACTAAAATATTCACGGTCAAGTTCACTGTCTAGGATGTCGTTACATTTACATATAAAAATATCTAGAAACTAGATCAGATCTTTCTGAAACGATGAAAACATCAGTTTGCTCAAATGTCATCACCCTCATGTTGTACCCACAGGGTGCGTTCACCTGTCACGCTTAATTTGGTACACACCTGTGATAGTAGGACCCGGTTTATTCACTTTCAAAATTAAATAAAACCAATTGAAAGACTTAACAAATATAGTTAAACAAGGCGAATTGATTACATTACATTAGAATACCTTAAATTTGTATATAAAAGAGTGAAAATGAATAAATATTTTGCTTATTAACATTATTTATAATGTATGATGTTATAAAGTAGGTCATGCCACAGTAAAAGTTGTACTCTTGGAATGATTAATGGAGTTTAATATAAATGTATCATCCAAAACAGATGTGTACTGGAGGATTCATGATTATTGGACACCCTTTTCTGGAAAAAAACATAGTTCATGAAGCCACAAACTTTGTTCTATAGTGAGGGCATCGGAGAAAAACTGAACATGTAAAATTGTATGAACGTATCTTGCCCATTTCTTAAGTTATCGCTTTTGACAAAGGGGTGTTCAAAATAATTTGCGGCTAATAATTTAAAACTATAACGTTGACTCTTTTTACATTTTTATTTTTACAATTCAATACTAATATCCAAAGAAACATGTTTACTGTTTGTTTGACATACACAATTATGATGAATAATATCTTATTTAAAATTAAACTAGACGAAAATATGTTAATTTTTTATTCCTTTGAAAATTGCTCAGGTTATGAAATGCCAATAGTTGAGAGGTTAAGCTTTGCATATATAATCGAAACTGAACCTGTACGTATCACTCGACCATATACAAATTCATGTAGCCTTCTCATATAAATTGCCGTTCAAATCCAGTGTTTGTTTAGACTACACCATAGCGTGTAATGATTCTATAGTATGTCATTGATGCGGTTTTATAGCTGGTTTTCTAATACATATTTTAAACGAGCTCGTTTCGTAAGATTTTTGGCGCTAAATCATGCATGACATACATCATCGTGTTCAGCAAGAATTCAACTGTGCATCGAAATCAAAATTGACAGCATAGTGTTCAATAGACACGAGTAAAATGGTTCCCGTTGACCCAACGTCAAATTTCAAAATCTCCCGTTCTAAACCCGAAACTCTGAAGCTGAAAGAGCATCTGAAGTAGACTAAGCGCGCATAAAACTATGAGCGCTCGATACATTCCTTTGTTAATTTTTGTACTTTGCGTTCACGGTTACGTTGTGAAAAACATCGTTAGCTTAACCTCTCCATTGTTCCAATGATGCCGCTTACGAATTTATAAAATATAATGTATTTCCTCTACAATACAAGAAAAATCCATCGTCATATGAATACTTTAATTTTCGAATTTTGTATTTTTTGAAATATCAATTATCGTAAATTGGCCCTTATACGATGCTAATAATGTATAGCTATATCTTAAATGGACTTTGAGATAAAGATGCCATGGTAACCTGTATAAGGGGTAGACAAATCAGTTACATTATAACGTATACAATATTATAATAATTTTTGTCATTTTGATAATTTTAAAGCATGCAGAATTTAAATCATGCATTTTTCAAAACAAATGTTTGATAGCGTTTGATAATGTCTGATAGGGCCTTGTTCCCTTTCTTGGCTTTCTTCACTAGTTGGCTTAAACCACTTTTTGGTTTCCCTCACAAGTCTGATGTGAAGCTGCAGGGCTTTTCAAAGAATGCCTTCCCGGTCATACACTTCTCTTGCTGTCTTTTCCTGAGTGTTTCTATCTTTTAAAGATCGAGCAATCTCTTTTGAAGCATCTGTAGGAGCTATCTAATCTTTTTCACTGACCAATGACGAAACCATCAACTGATTATGCAGGCTGTATCACTCCTTTTGGAGAGAGGCTTTTGTCTTCTACTTTGCCCAGCACAATCCTGTCTCAAAGATGTTCCTTTCACTTCAAACTTGTCCTTGCATGTTTCCTAAATCCTACTGGTCATGGCCTCAACTTTCCTCTTAGTGTTAACTTGTAAGCTGTTACTGATTATAGTGTTTAGCTCACTATCGATTATTTGTTAGTTACTGCAGGTAACTTAATCTAGGTTTCCTTTCTAGAATGAGGTTTTTACTTTTGTTGGAAAAGCAAGCTTCAACTAGAAGGTCTTCAGCTACTTGACCTGCTTGACATTAGCCATCACAGAGCATTTGCATTTCGCCCCTCACCTGGATGCATAATATTAGTGGGGCAGTGATTGGTAGATCTTGGGCATAACTTGTTAAAGGACCCCATTTGTCTTTCCTGTTGAGCCCCTTGAATTTGACTCAGCACCTACTGCCTTGACAGCTGATGATTTAAGGTTGAATGGTGAAAGTCCTAACTGAAACAGGAGGTAACGTAGTGAGGAGGCTTGGCTCTGCATCCCACTTCTAGGTGATAGTGAACTGCATGTCATCCTCTTGTCTCGGCCTCATCAACTAGGTTTTAGAACTTGACTTTTTAAACCTGATGAGATATTCTACCTTACTAGGGGTATTACGGATATGGATATGGGGTATTTACAAGGAAATATAAACGATCTGGAATACTATAATTCTGAAGTTGCTTAACACGAAACAAAAACACATTAGAAGAAAAATAAAATCCGTAATTACAATACCAATATGCAATTTACACTACCCTAAAAAATCGCAATTCTGAAGCCCAGTACTTCAAACCGTATATTCGGCTTTATATATGTCATTCGATATTTACCGAATATACGGCTAGCCAAAAACAAACATAAATAAATAACAGGTGGTTCAATAAGGTAGCTTAAACTTTTGCATAGCCTGTTAAACATATGTTTGACGATGAATCAAGACCGTGCTACCCAATGAAGGGTCATGGTTTCCAGATTTTTAGAAGCTATGGACTTCCTATTAGGAAGCAACACCAATAAGTCTGCAAAATGTATAAGGGGTTAGTCAAAAATTGTGCGACAATAGTCAAATTAAAAACAGCATGTCAAAATATCCAATATCAACGGAAAAGTCGGGACAATTCCACAGATAAATGCTCTAATGTAATCCAATGGGAAAATATTGAAATCTTTGGATTGATTATGAGAAAACGAGGATTTTCGGTACATAACCCCATATACCACGGGATAGCTCCATATGTGCCCTTTCAAATCAAAAAAAATTTTGCATAGATAACCCATTGAGAAAAAAAGATATGACCGCTTTTTCCGCCATCTATCCGAATTTTAAACAATTTTCAATAGATTTCAAACTCAAGACCACCGTCACAAAAAGTCAAATATTTGAAGTGAACAGAATCATTTCGTCATACTTTTTGTAAAATTACATACACACAAGATAAACAGAATAAAATATAAAATCTGTACATTTTCACTAGTGATTGCACTGATAAATCTTGATTTCAATCAACCATCATCCCGATTTTGAATTTAGATTTTTTGTCTTCTACCTTTTCACTAGCGCCATCTGTGGAGTTATCCCGTCACTTATTTCAGTTTATTAAGTTTCACTTATTTCAAGCAGTTCAAAATGCTTTGTATATTTCTTCCGACGATAACACCTCCGATGACCTTATCCCCCAACTTACGAGTGATCATTGCGTGACACTGGATTTGTTTATATTACTACGGGATATCAAATTATAACTGAACATTTAAGTAAAAATGATGACTTTACCCTATAAACATAGAGATAATGTTTCACAGCTAACTGAGCGCGCTATAACTTTACTACAGGGTCAATACAACCCACGTGAGAATTGTTTTGGTCATGGTATAGGAAAAGTAGCACTTAAAACACTAGTTTGCTACTTTGTAGATGTATGGCACGTATATGTGTACATGTATTGACAATTAATGTTTGGTAATAGCTAGTAGGAGTGTCAGGGACCGCTGACAGAGTATAATTTTGAACCCAAAAATTGAATTATATTTTTGGCGGTCTCAGTAAATCAATGGGGTAATGAGGTCCTACGTGCTTTTTACAGGCCCAGAAATCAATGCTCGCTTATAAATGTAGCAAAATCTTTTTTCGTTCGTGGGATATTTTTTTCACCATATAACCGAACGGGAAGTTTTTGAATAGGACTACATGATCTGAATGAATGCGAGGATTCGATGGGCTGGGATTTGAGAAATTATGATTTGAACTTTGCCAATTTTACATGTATTCCAATTTCCAATGGGTGAAAAAGTAAGTTGCTTTCTACCACAGCACCTAATTTTTCAATTCGGGGATAAATTGCACATGTATAAGATATCCCCCCGGGATGAATATCACAAGTTGGTCCCAGGATATATCTAAGTATGTAAGATATTATGTAAGCAATTTATGATAATGGGATATCACTGATTGTCTGTTGGAAAAACCTTGAGAGTAGTCTACCTTTAATTAAGGGAAGTGTAAAATCCTGAATTGTTTGTCCAATGACAGTTTGCTAAACATGCATTTATTCCAAAGAGCTATTTATCACATATTAGGAGGTGTTAAGGTATGAGAAACAGGTTTACTTTGCAAGACATAATCATGAAATAGGATCAGCTTATTATTATATGAGGTTATTGGGATAATATTAATATAATCAGACAATATAATATGTCTGACCAAGTGCTGGATGTGTCAAGCTATATTAGGCAAGGGACAATCTTCTTATTTTCATCAATCCAAATTTGACAATGGTTCAAATGATACAGACACTGCTGAACAAAATTGCTCATCTTTTATTGCGAACTGTCCATTTTACATATCATTGCAAATGCACTGTTTAACTGTCCATCTTACATTGCGAACGCATTGTGTAGTTTGATCGCAAACGTGTTGTCGTCCTCAACATCACCAAGTTTTCTCGACCAGTAGTCTACAAACTCTTGGAGGGTAACCTGAAAGTCATACTTTGAAATTTACACGAATGTAAAATGAATATTATTGTCATCCGCTAATAAATGAACTAATCATGAAAGATATATAAGCCTTTTAAACGAGTATTAAAATACCCTGAGAACAGGCTTCGCAAGGTGGTAATAATAGGCGTTGTAAGATTGCCATCGTAATACATATACGTCAATGTATATACTTTTAAGGTATGGGTATACGCGACCCTCTATTTACTGTACATAGATCTATGACCTCTATGCAATTATCTTTCGATCAGCCGCTGTGTGATATTGATTCTTCTTTATGGCAGTTTCGCAATGTTGCAACATCCAATCAGATTGCGAGTTCTTAATCGGGGAATGCTAACTGCTTATCGCAGGGGGTAAAGAGAAAGAATATATTTTGGATTTTGAAGCCCTGTGATCGGAGGATGAAGCTTATTGAATCTGGACTTATTGGTCGTTCAATTTGTTTATCAGTACGGCCACACATGACCAAAGGAAATTCCGTAACTCGGAGTTCTGGTAATTCGAGATAAACTCAAAACCAGCTCTGACATGTCTGAATCTAATTGACTGACTCGTGCAAGGCACGTATCGAGTCTGCCGACGCGCATATCACTTAAAGGTGATTCTTCCCAATTCCTGCAAACAAATTGAATTAAGTTTAATTCTGTTGATTTTTCCAGTATATCAGCAATACGTTTGTCTCGAGATATATCTAAGGTATGTTAGATATTATATATGCAATTATAATGGGACATCACTGATTGTCCGGGAAAACCTATGACATCTTTAGTCTGTACTTTATTCAAAGATGAACTTTTTATAAGCGATGATTCACAATAATGAATAACATTCAACGTCATGTATTTTTAGTCGAAAATAATTAAAAGTTGATTGACAAATAAGATAGTATTGATCAACTGTAGTTCAGAGAAAATGCATTTTAAAATTGAAGCTCTCTTGGAAACCAATGGTACAGTTATATTTAAAACACAATATATTCTTCTTTTCAACCTAGTTAGACAATCAAAACATTGGGTCATTTTTAAAGTTTAGCATATTTAAAAAAGATTTACAAAAAACTGTTTATTTTTTTTTAGAATATAATATGCTTAAAAATACATATTTTAGAAAATAAGTGTCAAATAGATATGACATTTTGTTATTGAATCAGTGTGTCCTTTGTATAATCTTCGCAATAAGTTAAAAAGAGTATTGGCACAGTGAAGTGGAGTATTTGATGAATTAAAATGTCAACTTTAATTTGAAAAATGGCGGGAAATTTGAATATTTGAGAAATAAAAAGCTGACAACTATTTTTCAAAATAATATATTTTCAAAAATCTCTAACATAACTTTTTAAACCATGAACAATTGTAAATGAATGAAAAACATATTGCAAACTTTGCACGGTGCCTTTAAGATTTCTTTTATTTGCATCGCTAGTTCAACAAGTAATATATATGATAATTAAAATGCATACTTTGCCGTCGTTGTTGGCATCAATCCGCCTGATGAAATTCATGACGGACACGTCTAAAGTTCTTATAGCATCTTTACTGTCGTAAACACCGTCAGAGTTTGTGTCTGCAGTGAGGAACTTATCCATTACGACTTTCTTTTTGAAATCTGACATTGGTTGCTGCAATTTAAAAAAAGTATTATTTAGGAAGTGAACCATATATGAGAAATATTAAGAACGACTGAAAGGCACAGTCATATCTAGCGAGCAGGCTAAACAAAAGATGTTTCAATTTTAAAATAGCCTTGGCTTAGCTCAGCATTCCTTGTCATGCATTTTCTAAAAATCCCCAAAGTGTATATTTTATTTCAGCAAACAAAAAGTTCTATTACTTGTAGTTACAATTTTTATAATCTGGGAGAAGTTAAACATTTTCCCCTAATTTTTTGCACTTTGAAATCTTAATATCCTCACCAATTAATCCAGGATCTTTTTTGGAGATAATATATTTTAGATTGTAAGAATATATTGGAAGGTCAAATGTACATGTTGATTGCAATTATGTCACCCCTTAGACCTGATCCTGCCTTTAATATACCATGAAGCATTGTACTCATAAATAGTATTATGTCGGCACCACACTTTACCCCAAAGCTTTTTTATCGCTGGTTTTTTATTGCTTTCCCATGGGATAAACGGAAAATCCGATGATTTTCAAAAAATATCAATTATATCCACTCATGGATATCAATATCTTGTCCGCCGAAAAGTTAACCAGCTCTAATACTTCTTAACATGTAACATGTGTGAAAAGTGTTTTTCCAGGAATCGCGATGACAAAATTTATTTAAAAAGGTCCAAGATGGCCACCAGAATGCAAGATGGCCGCCGAAAAGCTAATCAGCTCTAGAACCTCTTACCATGTAGCATGTATGAGCATTTGAAGTAAATCCGTCAAATGGTTTTCCCCGAATCGCAATGACAAGATTTATCTACTAACTAAGATTGCCGCCAGAATGTAATATGGCCGCTGAAAAGCTAGTCAGCTTTAGAACTCACTAGAGGCAATCTGCGCGAGATTCTATTTTTGGTTCGGTTTTTTGCGCATGCGCATGAAATACAGCAGTTTAATTGGTTCAAATTATTAAAGCATATGCATATACAATAATTCAATGCGAACATATAGTCTGATATAGATCGGGGGGAGAGATTTTCCAAAGATGACCTTTTACATTGGTACGTTCGAAAAAATATATAAATAGACCTCATTTGCCATTGAACTGATTCTCCCAATGTTCGCTGTAGTTTCATAAATATTCTCTACAAGTTGGCTACTCACTTCTTCTGGAGATAGATGCAACTTACATTCATTATTTCACAGCAGGCCCTACCCACAATGCACTTTATATTGCCGGGACATATTGTTTCAAGTAAAAACAAAAGCTATACACTCAAGATAAGCGTATTGGCAGAAAATCGATTGGACCCGAATTTTTGGAACTGATCACAAGAACTAATTTAAATCATGGGTATGAAATACTTCCATTGAGGAAAAACCAAATCAAGTAAAAACTGAGCCTTGCGCAGATTGCCCCTACTTCTAGAACAAGTGGTTTTCCTGAAATCATGATGACAAGAAAGTGAGACGCCGCCCGACACCCACCCGCCCGTCAAGCTGACGATTATAGCGTAACTTTTTAGGTACGATAAAACATACCCGTAAAGCTATGCGGAATTCCTCAGAATCCAGAAATCCGCTATCATCTGCGTCGTAGATACCAAACAATTCCTTGCCGTTCGCATTGCAGTTGTACTTATCCATGCCTTTAACGAATTCATCCTGATCCACGACACCGTCATTGTCTACATCCAGTTCGTTGTATTTGCTGACAAATTACAAAAACATTAATTAAAGAGCTTTTTTATTTTGCATTAACCGAATACAAATTTACAATATCAATATACATTACAATTCTAAGTAATTTGATTAAAAATTACCTGTAAATACTATCGGTCGAATACGTTCCAAAGCATTTGTAAAGAACAAGTCCTTCATTTACGCCGCTTATATCAATGTCCTTATGTTGAGTGCTGAAGTCTCTTGAATCGTCCAAGGTGAAGAGTCTGGAAAATATTTTACTTAACTATTTAAACCCAGTCCGACTGAACCCTTAATTATTTTTTGTTTTGATTTTTACACCTTCTAGAGGTTTTGGGGGTCCGTTTGGGCCCCAAGCACATATTTTGGAATAACTTTAGAACCAGATTTCAGTTATGAATATCTTTCATAAATACCTTCATAATTATATATGCATTAATTATCATAGATGCAAGAAAATATGAGCACTCAATCGGCCGGGCGCCGGCCGATGGATCGGAGCAAATGTGACCCAGGCATAAGATTATAAAAGTACAATTACCTATACACTAGGCGTTACCAACATTAGTACACTGGGGGATTTTTAAACATTGTACACGTATGTCAAGGCCTCGGGTTCCAGCTAAACCCAATCCGGCCACAAAAAAATCCGGATTTATAAATTTACAGTGAAATGTTTTATGGGGTCCGCACATTATTTGTAATAGGTATGTAAAAAAAACGTCATTCGATCTACACGGAAAATTTAACTCACTGTAGGTGTCAGTAAAAGGTCGAACATGATGTTCAGTGATAAGATGAATAAATGTATGGAGGAACTAGCTAGAATATACAAGTACGATTAAAGGCGATATTTTCTTTGAGTTCAGAGCCAAACTTGTACTCGTATATGAAAATAAAACGGACACATTCTTGCCTTGCAAAAATGTAAAATGTTTATAAAAAATAGGCTGTTGAACTTAACTTGACATGCTCACTTGCCAACTTGAAAAGAGTATTGTGCTTACTGGACTATGTCGAAAATAATTTGTATGTAGTATCACTTAAAAAATGTTTGCAATTTTTTATCAAACGTTTAATAGTCCACCCGTATAACTCAGCGGTAGCGGGCGTAACTCTTACGCAATAGGTCCCCGGTTCAGGCAAGACTTAATTTGCTTGTTTGCGTAAAGTAGTTCAGGGTGTTGGACTGAGTGGTACAAAACTCGTACAAAAGGCTGTGGTGTGTACTTATTGTATTGCTCACCTTAACTGGTGGTAAACAAAATACAACAAACAACAATACGCTTCAACTGTAAACTTGAAATCTTAAGATTGACAGGATATCAATCAGACTGAATCTTAAATATATAGCCAAGCTCTCTGTTGTAAAATTAAGAATGCATATGATTAGGGAAACTGTGTTCTGATTGGTTTGAATTTGATAAATTATGCCGAGTATTGTGTGAATGACATTTTAACAATATGTACCCTGCGTGCAGAGTCTAGTTAAACTACCTCTTTTAAGAAATGAAGTCAAACGAATGCAAAGGGTAAACAATCTGTGCAATTCCTTTAAAATGAAGGATGATTTAGTAAGCAAGTAGAGAATTTAAAATATTATTTAAGCACTAAACACCACATGCAATTTTTAAAAATTTCAAATAACGAGGAATTTTAGAATTACGAGGAATTTATTTGGCACATTTTTGAAATATTCAAAATATTCTCTTCAATTACCATACCAAAAGGTCAACGTTTACTATTTTAAAGTCACATTTCAGCAGCTACATCGTTTTTGTTGTAAACTACTACAAAGGCTGAACCAAAGTAGAAATATACATTGGTTTCACATTCGCACGCATTCCAATAATAAAATAAATGTTTTTGATTGACTTAACTTCACGAAAAAATTCTCTTGGAAAGAGCACTGCAATATTATTTATTACATATACAAAATATTGATAGAAATGCATTTGTTATACCGTATATCGATAATTAAAAAAATGTTAAAATACCTTTTTGGCCTTAGAGAAAAACATTCGGATTAAAACGTTTTTATTCCCAAACACTGACAAATACTGGAATTACCCATGCGTTTTAGAAAGGCGCATAAGGTTTTAACCCGGTTAGAAAAATAGGTGTAATCACGATTGCGGTTTTCCAAAACTCCTAGAACCCTAGTCACTAAAAAAACGCCTTAAATCGTAAGGTGTTTTGGAGTGTAGTGTAATGTGTGTAATGATGTAATAGTGGATGGAACCCCAAAAATGCAAAAGTTAATCAACTTATATCGCAAACATTGAAAGTAAGTTCACATCACTGGCAAAAGTCTCGGTTACGTTTTCTCTTAGATGCTAAAATGGAGAGGTTAAGCAAATACGGTTTTTCAAAACGTATACGTAAACGCAAAGTACATTGAATCAACAAAGGATTGTATCGCTTTAGTCTACTTCAGATACCCGTTCAACTTCAATGTTGCGTGTTTAGAACGGGAGATTTTAAAATTTCACGTTGCTATCAACGGGAATCATTATACTCATGTCTGTTGAATACTATCCTTGCAATTTTGATTTCGATGCAGAGTATAATTCTTTCTGATGAAGATGATGTATGTTACGCATGATTTAACTCCAATAATCTTACGAAACGAGCTCGTTTAAAATATGTATTAGAAAACCAGCTATTGAACTTCATCAATGGGATACTATGTAATCATTACAAGCTATGGTGTAGTCTAAACAAACACTAGAGCTGAACGGCTACTTATGTGTGAACTCTACATGTATTTGTATAGGACCGATTGATACGTTTAAGTTGCGTTTTGGATTTTATACCGTAGCTTAACCTCTCCAATAATACAATTATTGTACATCTGCTGGATATTTTCCATATCTACATCGCACGAAAGTGCACGAAAGGCGTTTTAGAAATGACAGGTGTAATTCCAAAATAAAATTCCTAAGGAGCATTAGAAATATTGGTGTAATCAGAGGCCTCATCACGCGCTCGTCGCAAGATTTGCGTTTGCGTCTGCGTTGCGTTTGCGAATCTACAATTTGCACAAGCGCAACTCCCGAGTTGCGTCTTATCACGCGCTCGTCGCAACGCAGATCGCAACTTAAGCGGTAGATTACCCAATGTGATCGCAAAAATGTAGAATTTCAACTTAATATATAAATTGGCGGGGAAATCATATTAAGTAAAAATACAATGTCCGTGTCACAGAACTTTTTTGATGCCCATAGACTCACCGGGCCTTATTCAAATACTTATCTCGAGCTGAGTTTTACTTTTAAATATAGAAAGTGATTATTTCAATGCCGAGGGTGCACCCGGGTCGCAGGTTAGGTTATGTATGACGTGGTGTCACACGGGTGAGAGAGTGTACTGAGAAGGATGCACTCAGATGAAAGTCTTTACAGACGAAACTTTACTCGGTTGAGAGCATGTAATGACAAAGGTGCACTCGGATGATAGCGTGTACTGACTGACGAGTGTGCACTCGGGCGAGAGGATGGACCACAGATCAATTAAATCAGTGAATTGCAGACAGATGCTTGGGTTATTCCAAATAAGTCCCTATTTGTCATTTGTAAGTTGCCGGTTGCAAAGAACCTCAAAGGTATGCCCATTTTAAGCGATGCTGGAATGAATGTTGCGTTTCGTTTTTTTGGATTTGCGATCAGAATTTGGATTTAATTATAAAATTCGAATGTTTTAAACACCCCTCATACCATTAACGATTCCTCTGATTTAAGCACTTTCAAAAAACATAAACTAACTTTTTATTACACAGTCGCCTTGAGAAAAGAACATAATTACGGAATCAATAAAGAAACTCATAGATTGACACATTTGAAATAGATAACAATTGTCTTAAAGATGGGTAACATTTGCGACTGATTTGCGGCAGGGTAAGAGCTATCGCAGGTTTTTGGTCAGTTGCGATTGAAACATCTTCCGAATTGCGATTGCGTTGCGTTGCGCCGAGGGGATGATACAAATCCTGATTGCGATTCGCCAAAACTTGCGTTGCGTTGCGGTGCGGTTGCGAATCTGCGTTGCGACTTGCGGATGATGAGGCCTCTGGATAGCGATTAGTGAAGCCCTCTCCACTGGAGTTTTTTTCTGGTGTAATTCCAGTAAAAGTTCGCTGTAATATAACTTATATAATTACATGCTTTCAATAGCGTTTCAGCTCGATTGATTCCGCGCTCAATTGCATGACATTAAACCTTTCGCAAAATTGAGGAGAATAGCCTCAATTATGCAATAATTGCCTCAACATAAAAGCGAATAACTCGTTTTTGAAAGCAAGGGTTTCATTTTTATTTACAAAAACGTATTTCGCCGCAAATTGTTTCAACCACACACGTCATGCCACGTGACGTAAAATTTCTGCTCTGAAAATGAAATCAGTTTTGCCGCGAAAACAGACTCCTGCTGACTTTATATTCCCGATATCATGATAAAATGAACTTTTGGAGATGCTGATGGTTCACCATCGTCGTAAAGTGTGGCCTTCATACGGTAAGATAGAATATTAAATAAGTCTAAATCGAGAAAATGGTTTGATTACGACTTTAAGGGTATCTCTGACCATGACCATTGTGATCCTGGTCATGTAAATGCTATGTGCTAAACCTTTTATTTCATTAACAAGATACCTTTTTAAGTTATTCAAACTTTCATTTGTACAATTACAATGTTGAAGGACCTAAATACGTTGTGTATATGTCATTTTGTTCAAATGAGGTTCGGATAGATGTTTCATTTTATTTCGAACATATGCATGGTACCAAAAACGAAAGAAGTGTCTAGTGTGTTTTCTAAAAGTATATACCAGTATTGAATTGTATATATTTTTCAAATCGAATTGTTACCATTCAAGAGATGTGTCAAATTTTCTGAATTTTTTTATGACTGGTTCAAGAGAAACATGTGTTCATTTCAGTTCGCCATGTGTCGATACCAATCCTTTCTGATAACTTCCCTGGCACCGTAACACAGATTTAACCCTCATACCTTTTCATAATTGCCTCAATCAATCTAACTCTCAGAGCCTCGCTTGTGGCCGACCCTCTTTGCACAGTTCCAAGAAGCACAATTGCAACTCCGAGGAAAATCAGGGTCGATGACTGCATCTGAAAAAGTATAGAGTCTGATTTATCAATCTCCTGCATTACATCATTACAATGGTACATATACTGATGCAAAAATATGTGGTTATTTGACCTAGTGCTCAACATAAATAAATTACATTTGGATTTGCTGAAGCGAGGATTTCCCATGTTAAAAAGAAGAGAATTTTCAAGAGGCTTTAGTAAAATTTAAATGTTTGTGAGTACCTTGAATTCAAAAAATAAGCAATCAAAGGACCATATTGAAACGGTTTATGTAAAAATAGAAACATTTATATTTATCCTAACTTTTGTATATTTTGGGTTGTTTTTTGTTTAGCTGTCATATGTGTTGTCTCTTATATTTTGATGCTTCTCTACCATGTTATTTTCGGAAAAATTAACATGGCTGAAACTCCCTAAATTACAAAAAGCCAGAGCTTTGCTGCACATCATACATACATATCTGAAATATACAAAAGTTAGGATAAATATAAATGTTTCTATTTATACTTTATTATTACAATATGGTCCTTTGATTGCTTATTTTCTAAATTCAAAGTACTCACACACATTTTAAATTTTAGTGTATACATCAGTTAATGAGAGTATACAAAATGTAAAATACAAAAAAACTTAAGGGGTGTGTATCTAGACATTATTGGAAAAATATTAAGTCTCAAATCACCATAGTCTGGAAATGGTGATAGCAAATCCAGGTGTCATTTATTTATTGTGAGCACTTTACTTATTTTTTAGATTTAAAGTCACGGTCAAAGGAATAATTACTCGGACTATACCAGCTTTGAGGCGGGCGAGATATTAGTTCAACAAGTTAAACCTAGTCTGGGCGTTATTAGACATTATTGGAAAAATATTAAGTCTCAAATCACCATAGTCTGGAAATGGTGATAGCAAATCCAGGTGTCATTTATTTATTGTGAGCACTTTACTTATTTTTTAGATTTAAAGTCACGGTC